TCGACTCCATCAACCATGAGTGGCTGATTCTTCTACTTAGGGTTGGATAAACCCTAAGCATGTAACCTATTCTCTCTCTCTTTTCATACTTTTTGGGGATTAATTTATGTAATTAGTGTATAGTCTTGAATATTATGAATTAAATTCTTCCAATTGATTATCTGTATTAATCTCATATTGTCTTATGTGCGGTTGATTGATAAACAAATTTTACACACGAATTCTTTGTTAATTGATTCTTGTGATGGCTATGCATGGTATTGCTTAGTTGTAATTGTGTTTCAAATTGATGAAAAATGCTTACATTTGATGGATGGTACTACATGTTTAGGTTAATTTGTTGTTTAATTAGTTTTAAATTCATGTTTAATTAGTTTAATTTAAGTTTAATTAATTTAATTGCAATTCAATTATTAGGTAAGTAGACCATCCATACTTATGTTTGAATTCCATACTTTTTGTCACAATTGCATTATCTTCTAGATTAATGTGTGTTAAATTTGTAACTTGGATTGATAAATCATGCTTTGAATGGGTGAATTGCACTACACTTAGTTTAATTGTCATTAGGTAGTTGATTCATGCTTGAAATTGATGGTTTACACTTTTCATTGCTCTTGTTAGCCACATATAGATTACATAGTATTATTTCCCCAATTAGTTGAAAGTGAGTAAGTTAGGGAATGTGCTTAGTGGTGAATCCTACACCCTAAGTCTCTTTCCAATCTCTTAAACTCTATTTCTTTATTGCAATCATTTAGTTTAAAATTAATTTTAATCACAAACAAAACCCTTTTGGCAATCACATAAGCACTAAAGCAGAATTCAATTCTGGAAAACCTATAATTGTTTAGATCTCTTGGGACGATCCCTGCTCACTTCATACTCCATAGTATAAGTGTTTAGTGGTTTTATAAATTTTAAAATATGGTGCCCACTTGACATTATTTCTAAACCTAAAGTGTTGTGCATTATTTTGTGCACACGCTCGGTCGCACCAAGCTCCCGTGAGACTAGTTGGAAAAACCTTACACATGAATGCATCATTGTGATTATTTAGAGCCATCTTCTGTGAATAGTGGTCGAGGTGACGAGAAGGGTCTCCTGTGCCATCAAACTAAGTGAAAGAAGGTATGGTGAATTTCTTAGATCTGTCAACAAAGTATATATTATCGGTGAACGGAGTCTTCACTAGAGAGTTCTTATGCTTTCTGGCCATCTCGGCGGGTGTCTGAATCCTCAAGAGCCTCTTCTCATCAAAGGCCTCCTGGACACCAGCGCCATCCGGAATGCCATTAGACCAAACCGTAAGCTTACGGCTAGACTCGGCCTGTTCGTCTTACATGTGATGAGGATGATTGCCCGAAGCAACCACTTCAGTTCTTGTCCTCTGTTCTTGCTGAATTTTGTTAGGCCGAACCTCATTAGGGTGTACCTCATTGGCTTGAGGTTCGTTAACCGGAGGAATGTTTTGGTTAGGGGGAGGTACTGCCATATCACCTAGTGGTGGTTGCGGTGTTATCTGGGCCATAGCTGCTTGGAGGGCATCGTTCCTCTGCTGAAGCAACGCAATCTGAGTTGCGCTGGCCTCGTTCGCTAGACGAAGCTTTTCGAATTGGTACAAGAACTCTTCTCGTATCTTTTGCATTAATTCCATCTGTTGATCAGCTGCTGCTACGGATCCTCCGATTGACATTCCAGATCGTAGTAACATAAAAGATTTGGATCACTTGTGGGAGTATATTTCTATACGTTTCCCACAGACGGTACCAAAGTGTAGGTGCAAAATTTCTCTCAATAAAAGAAATTAAAAGAAATAATACTACTCACTCAAGATAAAATAATAAATAATTATTCAGAGAAAAGCGTATATTGCTCGATGATCTTTTCTGGAGGACTAAACCATTATTTATATACAAAAAAGGTGGTAGAATTATGGTAGAACTCGCCTTGCTTGTTCTCCAATTCATTCCATGTACAATTCTTTACTAATTAAGTTACTTCCATTTATAATTATCTCCATGTCAGACTTTTTCTTTTGTAGAACTTTCCTTTCATGTAGGATCCTTCGTTTAGTATAACTCATTTAATCTCAAAATATGTTTAGGCCAAATACACCTTGGGCCGGCTGAGCTTGCTTGATGGTCTCAAAGTTTATCATTAATAATCTTGGGTTAAATGGAGACCTAATTTGGGCTTGACCAGGATTGGGCTTCTGCAATCCATCGAAAGATCAAAAGTATAATTTTATATTGCGGTGACGTGGACGACTCTTACTGGAGTGGGATTTTTCCCTCCACACCTTGATCAATTTCTCTCCCCAAGCTCTTAAACAAGTGTAAGTTACCTTTTATTCAATGATAATTAAATAGTTAGTCAAATAAGTATATTTGGTTGTATGGAATTTATAGCTTGAAATTAATTTTTTTTTTTTTTTCATAAATTGAAATTAAAATTTATTTCAAAGTTTAAATTATTTTTTTACTTAATTTATAAAGTACTAATTTTATGCAATCCAATATAACATTAAATACTTAGGTTTTGAGTTAGTACTGACATTCATGTCCAAAATAAAGAAAGGAAAGCTATTTAGGCTGAGTAAGTATTAATTTAAGGGTCGTGATACTCAGACAGAAATGTCGGGCCGATTTACTAGGCAGAAATGACGTGGCACTCCATCTGGCATAAATTAATCATACAATGCATTCACATCATCTCACGCGCCATTTTCCGATCACAACGCGCAAATATTCCAAACAAAATACCGACGACAAGATTGAGCCCAACTGCAACCTACCACGAAGACGAAGGACTACTTGGAGTGGAGTCTTCCTTCGTCGTCGATCTGCTTTCTTCCCCATCATCGTCGGGATTTCACTGTCGGCAGTTTTTGGTGGGTCTCTTTGAATCCACCATTTCTAACTTCAAATCCAATAATTGTGACAAGTAATAGTTGTACAGAGCAAGCAATAGTTGTGAGGATGAGACTTGTACAGAACAAACATGGAAGACAACCTGAAGATCACATCTTTTGTTACAGATACTTCAAATGGGTTCTCTGGTTTTCTCTCTCCTTCTATTTTTTCAACTCTTATCTCATCGCCCAAACCCCCAGTACCCACGAACCCACTGATTCTCTCTCTAAAATCACCCCTTTTCTCTATCTAAAAGCTTACCATTAACCTCCCGTGCCCTCTTCGAATCACCCAACACCACATTTCTACAACAACCCACTTCAAGGTGTGTGTATACGATTTGCCATCCAAATACAACCTTGATTGTGTCGAAAAGGACAAAGAACTGATGAAGCCTCACCTATGCAAACAACGACAGCAAAATCAGACTAGTTTCTTACGGTGAAGACACAACTCGTGACAGCCACCGGCGACCCATTCACAACGATGACAATCTGAAATTTTGCGTTCTAAGAAAATTGAACCAAACTCACCGGCGTCTTCCACGATTAATCGTTACCGTCGGCCGACACGTTTGCACGCGCCCACCGTTGCCGATCCCATTGCCTTCTGCGACGCCGGGAAGAGACTGTTCCCGTCGGTGCCAATCTCCACCTTCGGCAGACAACGACACCACCTACCCCGGGCTAATCTGTTCTGAACAAATTAGTCGGTGCCGGTTTGTATACTTTTCGATTGTCTATTCCGATCAGCTTTGCCGGCCGTGTCTCTGCTTCTTCTCCACAGATGCAACTTTTTACCTTTCTCACCATTTCCCTTGTGTTCAGATCAGATCTGCAACTCAAGAGAGGTTAAAGAGAGAGAGAGGAGAGACCGGAGCAGATGAATGGATTGCACCGACTCCTTTTTTTTTTTTTTTCGCCGGCTAGACGCCACCTAGATTCTGCCTAGCAAATCGGGCAAATTCATTAACGTAAATATCATTTTTCTTAATTTAATGTCTAAAATAAGGTAGTGAGGAAAGTTAACTGTAGATATTGAAACTTTTATGACTGAATTACATTTAATTGGGCTTACATTAATAATAATTTTGGACTCACCATAAAAGATCTCATAAAACAAGTTAAAATACCCAATAAGCCCAAACCCATTTTACATGAATCAATCACTTGAAATGGGTCCAAAGATAATTATCCTTAATAAAAATATTATATATATATCAATGGGATAATTATCAAGGAAATCAAGTTACAATTTTACGCCTCAATTGAGTATAAATAGTGGCTTAGAGGTAAAAATTTGGAGAGAGGACTCAAAGCAAAAGCATTGAAGCTCTGCCAAAATTTTCCTATTCTCAACATTCAAATAACAAAATAACAAAGAAGAAGATTGAGAAAGAGAGTATCAACGAGATAGTGACCTAGCGGTATCAATCTCTTAATTTTACAAAATTAATAAAATTGATATTTGATCCATATTTGTTCTTTATTTTACAAATACAATATTTTTGTGTACACCATCGATAATCTTAATCTTGAACAAACTAAGAGTGTTCATTTTCAATTGTTGAATAATATGAATTCTAAAGTTATCCATTTTCAACAGTTGAGATCAAGAATAAATGAGTGTGTAACTCTACTGTTACCGATTTAATATTTTTGGAAAGAGAGTCTAATTATGATTTTTTTTTTTTTTTTTTTTTTTTTTTTTTTTTTTTTTTGTGGAGAGAGAATCTCTATTTCTTTATCTATTATTGACTAATGGTATGTTTGGTTGCAAGTATTAAGGACGGATGAAAATGACTTCATAAGAGTATATTAATATATTATAAAGAAATATCAACAAGAATGGTATGGGAATAAAAGAATTCTTTTGTGTTTGGTTGGAGAGAGATGGATAATAGGGGGAATAAAAGAATATTTTTGTGTTTAGTCGAAGGGAAGGGAAAAGTGGGAGAAAATAAGGAGGGATGAAACATCTATTCTTACTTTGTATTTTTCTATCCGTCCAAAATTGAGGAAAGTGGGGAGAGAGAGAGAAAAAAAAAAAACCAACAAATAAATTTTTTTTATTCATTTTTGGCCTTCCAAAATTTTGTTACATATTTTGAAATAAATTTACCAACGATCAATAGCACGGCGATATCAGAAATTCAAGCATTAGGCATGTGTTTGAATATCAACTGGTCATACATCCATTAAATCATCCATTACTAGAATTCTCCCGGAGTATTCTAAAATTCTTTCTTCACAACCAAAAAAAAAAAAAACAGAAAAAGCAAGACCATCATCTATACCATCTCTGTTCCATCAAACCAAACCATAAGTAAAGGACACACCTTGGTTTATCCCTTCCACCCATATAAGAGTTGCTGATCAATATACTATCAGTTTAACAAACACGTGTATACCAGGTGTCCAACAGTAGTAGCATTGAGGGCAACAAAATGGACTAAGTGCTACCATGTTCATAGCAATTAGTAACCCTCTCAACTTTTAAACCGTCATTTTTGTTTTCCTCTCTTTTCCTTCGTGAAAGGGATGGAGAAAATAGAGGTTGTGAAGCTAAATGAAGGTCTGAATCATGGTGATAATTGTGACCAAAATGTGTTCGAGAAGGAAGTCTTGGAGGAGGAAGAGCAAGGTCATGTTTGTGAATGCCCAATATCATCAGAGCAGAGTGTTAAATCTACGAAAGATAATTTGAATCTGATCCAGTTGTCTAACACCCCACCAGCACTCTCTCCCTCCACTCCTTCCATGGTTTCTCTCCCTAAAAACTCTCTATTTCTCTCCTCTTTTTAAATTTTCCTAATTAATGTTGGATCTGGTTTGTTTTCTTCAGGGTAAACAAAAGAAGCCCCATGAAATCAAAGACAAGATGTCGCCAATGAAGAAAAAGAAACGTCCGGGTTCGATATCGGAGCATGTAAGAGCTCATTTCTTCACACCCATTCTTCATTTTGCTGTGGCAGTACACAATATATCTTGTTTGTTTCTCTCTCTCTCACACAAACTTTGTTTCTTGTCTGTGTCTTTCTTTTATGTAAGCTAAATGAGCGGTCTATCTTGTATATCTATACTTTCTAATTTTTTTAATTAAAAGGGCTAGCATAGTGCATGAGGCTCGTCCCTAAAGGGTCATCTACCCATGACCTCAAAGTAACTAACCTTACTGTTGGTCCCACCCTCAAACTTACCTACTGATATGGCAAAACCTTCAGAGCTTTGACAATTAATGTGCTTGAATGTTTCTTCAATTTATGTTAAGATTAACTTACAGCTCAGTGAAATCTATGTCCTGATTCTTTAGGTTAGGGCAAATGCTTCTGGTCACAAGCATTTGCCCTAACCATAGCCCCTCACTACATCAACCAAAGTCCTTTTGGTCTTAAGGGTCCTGAACTCATGTTGTTCTCTCTTGATTCCTAGTTTATTAAAAGTAGTCAATCCCTCTTAATTGTTCTTTCAACACCGCACAAGTAAATACAAGCACAACATCAGCAAATATTAATTTTATCCTATAATATAAGAGGTTTTTTTAAGTGGAGTTCACTATTAATGGGTTAATTTTATTATTTCTTGAACAGACAATAACTGATGATGCAAGAAAGTTGTAAGTATCTAATCTCCTGACTGCCTCTTTTAACAATTTGTAGAGTTTACATTATGAAAATAATAACTTGTTGATTGTACTTGAAGCTATAAGCCAAAAAGGGCAGCAAGTAACGCGTTAAATAGTCCCGGTGAAGTTAAGTCATCCGCCATGATTCGAGCAGAGGAGGTTCAATCGAGTCTAGGTACTGAATTTCCTAGCTTTGTGAAAGTGATGGTTAGATCACACGTTTCGAGTTGTTTTTGGATGGTGAGCACTATGAAACACAATGAAGTCCATAAAACAATATTGGACAGGGCAGAAATGATTCTTTTGTTACCAACTCTTTTGTTGACAGCGGCTTCCTGTGCCATTCTGCAAGTCGCACCTACCAAAAAATGATGCTATCATCAGTTTGGAAAATGAAAGTGGGGAACAATTTGACTTAAAATTCATTGCAGATAAGCAAGGGCTCAGTGCAGGGTGGAGGAAGTTTGCTATTCTACACGAATTGCTTGAGAGGGATGTTTTGATCTTCCAATTAACCAAAGCTACCAAATTTAAGGTAACATTCTTAATTATGTTTTGTTTATATAATATATTTTTGTTGGTTTTTTATATGTCATGTATATTTTGTATTTTCAGACAGAAAGAAGGTAAATGGTTAAGTGTGTAATGATTAGGCATGATGCAACTACCTTTATAGCTCATACACTCAAGCACAATGAACACTGAGGAGAATGTAAATTCCAAAAAAATGTCATGGAAAATAGGATGATGCATTCTCTAATTTGGCCCGGCTCCCCAGTTGGATCAGAACTTTCTTATGAATGTATATGTTCATTAAATTCTATTGGAAAATAGGATGAAAGCAGTTTTCGTTGTTGATTTATTTAAACTGTTAATAGTGTTTTTTTTGCTATGCTTTACTTAATTTTGTTGTAGCAGCGGCACTACAAACACATTACTTGTTTTGATTGACAACATGTTCCATTTATATGTATGTCTCCTCACTTCTGTAGGTGTATATAATAAGGGCAAATGATTTTAATGAGGTAGATGGTGCTCGTGGCCTTCTAAATTTGGATGCTTATACAAAGCAAAATGCTGCAGGTTAGTCGACTGATATTTCTCTTTCGTAATTCCATGATGAATTAGCATAGCTAAGACATGATATTTAATTTTTCAATGTGCTGTCTCCATGGTTTTGTTTTGCTGTTGGATGAAAAGAAGACGGAAGTACAATAGCTCTCAGGAACACGAAGAGGAAGCGTTTGAAGTCTGGACCAGTGTGGCCAGTGGAACAATCTGAAAATGTTAGTGATGTGATTGCTTCTGAAGTTCTTGTAGGTTCCAAAGTCTCTGGTTCTTCTGTTGCGTTTGGAGACATCAAAAGCTTTGACGACTTCAAAATTACTCTAAACAGGTTATATATTGATTCTGAGCTCCCCGAACGTGTATGGACCAAGTACTATGAGCTCTGCTGCAGTAAGAATTCATTTCTTCATGCTAATCTTCTCCAGGGCCTCAACTGTACTTTGGTTACTGGGATTATATTTGAAACTGTCAACATTGCTGATGCCATTAGAGGTTGCAAGCTTACCACCTCCAAGGATGAATTTGTGAATTGGGGGAAGACCTTGAAATCATTTGAAGTTATGGGAATGAATGTTGGATTTTTACTTGCTCGGCTGCGCAGGCTTCAGACCCTTGCCTTTGAATCAGAAGATGCCTTGAAGGCAAAGAGGTACATCGAGGGTAAAGCTAAACGTGTTCAAGCAGAAAAATGGATAAGGAGTCTGGAAGAAAAGCTTGCGCAATTGAAGGAGGCGTCTGAAAAGATTGATGCTGATACTGAGACTCTGGAGTCAAAAGCTGAGAGCTATAAAGTCAAGTTTCAGAAAGAAGTTGATACTCCATGGTAATTTTTGTATTTTGTTAAATATGGCCACATGTAAATATGTAATTAACAAGGTAAGGTAAGTATGTTTCTGGCAGTAACTTTTGTAGTTGTGGCCATAAGTTCTGGTAACATTGTAACATACAACTTTGGTCGGTGTGAAGTGTGGTTTGCTAGACAGTAATGGGGATTTTGGGTTGTTTGTCTAATAAGCTCGCATGCCAATATTCCAATAACCATATATTAAATCGCCAAAATTTTGTATAAATTCTAGTATGAGTCATAAATATAGATACTCAATCTATTTTATTCAGATCTAAGTTTTAACATTGGTAGTGAAAATTTATTTATATTAATCTTGTAATTGAAATTTGGTAGAATTAGATTTTAATTTTTTGAGTTGTTTTTCTTCAATTTCACTAATTTTAATTATAAGGATCTAATTCCGTGTAGATGAACATAGTCTATGTTCAGTTGTATAGAATTAATGTGTTTAGTTGTATAGAATTAATGTATTAGAATTGGAATTGAAAAAATTTTAATTCAATTTTCATTGTGTGTGTTATGGTGGAAATCTCTTTGTATTCTACTTCTTGTGTGATAATAATGAGTTGGCCAAAGGCCAAGAATTGAAAGAATTCAACCAGTCTAAAGAACAAACTGCACTTCAGCCCAATGGGCTTTAAAAATTTTAGAACCTTATCTTAGTAAAAGAAACCAACCCAAAGAGAAAGATCCCATGGGCCATGACTGTAATAATTACAAGTGTTAGGCCTTTTTTTTTTTTTTTTTTTTTTTGACGCCCTTCTCCCTAGGCTCGGACTCACATCTTCACGGAGAGCATTTCAATCAAGCGGTAAGGCAATTGAGAACCCTCTAAAACAAGTAACCTTTTATTTAGTGATAATTAAATATAGAGTCAGTCAAATAATTTTTCAATCAAATATATATTTTTTAAATTTTAAGGAAATCCTACTAAAAAAAATGATAATTAAACAATGAACATCCAAAATTTTGAGTTGATTACTAGTAGTAAATAATGTCCAAAATAAAAAAGTGATGCCCACATACTATTACAATTGAGAGCCCTGTAATTCTTTTGATATTTTACAATTAAATTAATCAAATAACGAGGATAACGTTGCTAACATAGGTTTTTCATATGTCTTTAGACTATATTTGAATTTTAAATCTCACAAAAGGATATTGTTGTCCAAAAATAAGTCACCTTATATATCCCTAACTAACATAGGCTTTTCATATATCTTTAGGCTATGTTTGAATCTTAAATCCCACAAAAGGATGTTACTGTCCAAAAATAAGTCACCTTATATATCACTATCCTTGTACCAAAGGCATGGGATGTGTTGTACCCTTTTCTTTTTCTTTTTTTTTTTGGTGGTGTGATTGGTAATGAATAAATTTGGTTTTTAATAAAATTAATGTCTTGTCTTAAAATTAATTTTTTATTAAAGTATTCTTATTATTTGAGATTGGTGATTAAAGACTATTCATAATAATCTATCATGCAATGTAACAGTGTTTAAATTATATTATGAATGAATGTTTTGATAATTTATATCTAGAAAATAAAAAATGTACTCCACCCTAAATTAGAATAGTTAAGTACATAATTTGTGTCAATTGAAGATAAGTTTTGACTTAACATGATGAATTCATGATTTATGTTTTTAAAACTAAATTAAATAAAACATTAATTCGTTTAATTTCTAATCATTCGTTAATATTGAAATTCCTAAAATTGAAACTGTGGCCACCTGTAATTGTGAACACTTTGTTCGTGTTTGACACGCTATGGAGCCTGCTAGAAACGAGTTTTGTCCTCCTCTCTTTTTCTGCCCCATTCTGTCAAAACTCTGTAAGCAAACTTTTGTGTGTTGTGTGCGTGAGAGAGATGAAGATAGAGAGTGTGAAGCTAAGTGAAGGTCTGAATCATTGTGATGATCATCATGTCCACAATGTGGTCAAGAAGGAAGTTGTGGAGGAGGAAGAGCAAGGTTATGCTTGCAAATGGCCAACATCAGAGCAGAGTCTCAAATCTATGGCATACTATTTGAATCTGACCAAGTTGTCTGACAACCCCCAAACCCTCTGTCCCTCCATTTCTTCCATGGTTTATCTCCCTAAAACTCTCTATTTCTCTCTTCTCCTCTCTGAATTTTCATAATTAAAGTTGAATCTGGTTTGCTTTCTTCAGGGCAAACAAAAGAAGCCCAATGAAATCAAGGACAAGAAGTCTCCAATGAGGACGAAGGAACGTCCGGGTTCGATACCAAAGCATGTAAGAGTTCATTTCTTCACACCCATTCTTCATTTTTCTGTAACAGTACCCTATATATTTGTTTCTCTCTGATATATATACTGTACACACACGCACACTTCTGATATTGGTGGAAAGCATCAAATTGAGCAGTTAATGTGCTTGAATGTTTGTCAACTTGGTGAAGCGTATGCTCTGATTCTTTAGGTTAGGGCAAATGCTTCTTCTGGTCACAAGCATTTTCTCTAACCATAGCTCCTCCGTCCTCACAACATCAACCAAAGTCCTTTTGGTCTTTAAGGGTCCTGAAACCATGTTGCTCTTTCTCTTGATTCGTAGTTTACTGAAAGTTGCCTATCCGTCTTAATCGTTCCTTCAATTTCTCACATTAGATACAAGTAACAACATCAGTCAATATTAATTTTATCCTATAACACAGTAGGTTTTTGTTAAGTGGAGTGCACTATTAATGGGTTAATTTTACAATTTCTTGAACAGGCAGTACCTGATCATGAAAGAAAGTCTATGAGGTGTGTTCAGTATCTAATCTTCTGATTGCTTCCTTTTAACAATTTATAGATTTTACATAATGAAAATAGTAACTTGTTGATTGTACTTGAAGGTGTAAGCGAAAAAGGGCTACAAAAAATGCATTAAATAGTCCCGGTAAAGTTAAGTCATCCATTATGATTCAAGCCGAGCAGATTCAATTGAGTCTAGGTACTGAATTTCCTAGCTTTGTGAAACTGATGGTCAAATCACATGTTTCCACTTGTTTTATGATGGTAAGCACTAAAATCAGGGACATTGAAGTGCAAAAAAACAATATTGGACAGGGCAAGAACGATCCTTATGGTACCAACTTTTTTGTTGACAGCGATTTCCTATATCATTTTGCAAGTCGCACCTACCAAAACAAAATTCTATCATCATTTTGGAAATGGAAAGTGGGGAACAATACAAGTTGAAATTCATTGCAGATGAGCAAGGGCTTAGTGCAGGGTGGAGCAAGTTTGTTACTCTACACAAATTGCTTGAGGGGGATGTTTTGGTCTTCCAATTAATCGAGGCTAACAAATTTAAGGTGACATTCTGAATTATGTTCTGTTCATTCAGTATACTTTTGTTGATTTTTATTCAACGTGTATGTTTTGTATTTTCAGACAGAAAGTAAGTGAATGGTTAAGTGTGTAACGATCAGGCATGATGCAATGCTACCTTTATAGCTTAATACATGTGTAGAATGAATATTGACAATAATGTACATACCAAAACATGTCATGGAAATGACATGATATCACCATTGTATTGAATATTTGCTCCCAAGTTCCATATGGGTAAATAATTCAGATTTCTAAATTATTTTATGTCAAATGAAAACTGTTAAGTGGGATTTGAAAGTGTATGGTAAAGTAAAGTCGTGTAGTCTAGATGATCAGATTGGAATTTAGAAGTAAAACTGTGACGTGTGAAGGAGCATCTTAGAGGTTGAAGGTATAAGAATGAGGACCTGGAGAAGAAGTGAATTATGATGGGAAATGACTTGATATCTGGAACAATTTCCAAAATTAATGGCCACCTTTAGGCTATAGTGTGTCTTGGAGATAAAAAAAAATAATAATAAAATAAGGGAAAAAAAAAAAAAAAAAAACTCGTGGAAGAATTCATCATGTTCCAGAGAAGGACATCTCACTGTGAGACTAGTTGTTTCCCTGAGGTTTGAATATATCTTATTCATAATATTTTACCTTTATGTTTGAATTTTTCTTATTAGTTATAATGTTTCCATCAGGTTTAAATGTATCTTATTTATTATATGTTTCCATCAGGTTTGACTATATCTTGTTAGTTTAGTCTAATTCATCAATCCTATATCACACTGGAAATATCTGCATCGACCAGCCCCCAAAATGAGAGAATTTTCTTCCACTAATTTCCATGCAAATTTAGAAGCCTTAGTGTTGGAGGTGGATTCTAGAGTAATTGGCGAGAATGAAGCCAAACAAAAGGGAAGCAAAGGCACGTTTATGTTCATCTATCACTGGAATTTATGATAAATTGCTTGAAAGGAAAAGCATTAATTGAGGAAAATGGAACTGCATTATTGGTGGCCATATTATGTAATTAGGTAGGAGCTAAACCGTGGTTAAAGTTTGTTCCCAGATTAACAATAGTAGGGGGAGCATTTAGGGGAGTAGTTGTGGACTATCACCCGAGATGGTGCTGAGAGTACTTGATGGGATAAGAGTGACGGTCAGTTGGAACAAATTACCTAACATTGCGGAGGATGTTGAACCTTCTGCAAGTGATAAATAGAACATTAGGAGGTTGGTTACTTCTTATGCAAGTGAAGCAAATTAGATAGCTGATGCCTTGTGTAATGTGGGCCTCCAGTTTGATCAGAACTTTGTTATGATTGCTCTGACATGTTCCTTAAATTCTATTGGAAATAGGATGAAAGCAGTTTCCCTTGCTGATTTATTTCAACTGTTAATGATCTTTTTTCTTACTATGTTTTGCTTAATTATGATTTTTACAATGGGCATACAAGAGGGGACAATTTTTTGTAGTAGCACGACAAATACATTTCTTCTTTTGACTATTGTTCTATTTATATATATGACTCCTCACTTCTGTAGGTGTACATAATAAGGGCATATGATTTTACTGAGGTAGATGGTGCACTTGGCCTTCAAAATTTGGTTGCTCATACAAAACAAAATGATTCAGGTTAGTTCACTGATAATCTCTCTTTGGTAATTCTGTTATTAGTTAGCATAGCTAAGACAGTTGTTATTTGATAGTTAATTTTCATTGTACGTCTAAGCAATGAGGGTACAATAGCTCTCAAGAACAAGAAGAGGAAGTGTTTGAAGTCTCTTCCATTAGCTATGGTCCAAAAGAAGAATAAAAGCAGGCTTGTTAAAATCAGTATCTAAGACTTGTGCGGCCAGTGGAACAATCTGAAAATGATAGTGATGTGATTGCTTCTGAAGTTCTTGTAGGTTCCAAATTCTCCGGTTCTTCTGTTGCATTTGGAGGCATCAGAAGCTTTGAAGACTTCAAAATTATAGTAAATAGGTTATTTATCGATTCTGAGCTCCCCGAACATATATGGACCAAGTACTATGAGCTCTGCTGCAGTAAGAATTCATTTCTTCATGATAATCTTCTCCAGGACCTCAGTTGTACTTTAATTACTTGCATCATCTCTCAAACTGTCAACATTGCTGATGCCATAAGATGTTGCAAGCTCATCACCACCTCACGGGACCAATTTGCAAATTGGGAGAAGACCTTGAAATCTTTTGAGCTTGTGGGCATGAATGTTAGATTTTTACGTGCTCGGCTGCACAGGCTTCAGACCCTTGCTTCTGAATCAGAAGATGTCTTGAAGGCAAAGGGGTATATAAAGGCTAAAACTCAACGTGTTCAAGCAGAAAAACGGATAAGAGATCTGGAAGCAAAGCTAGTGCAATTGAAAAAGGAATCTGAAAAGATTGATGCTGATATTGAGACTTTTGAGTCAAAAGCTGAGAGCTACAAACTCGAGTTTCAGAAAGAAGTTGATACTCCATGGTAAGTAATATTCTCTATATATATCATATACCAAGTATATATTTTTTTGTTTTCTTAATTATGGCCACATGTAACATGAAAGAAAGGTAAATATGTTTTTGGTAGTAACTTTTGTAGTTGTGGCCATAAGTTCTAGTAACATTGTAGCTATTAACTAACTATAACCTTCGGATTTTAGATTATAATTAACAATACTGCAAGATGATGGTAATGGCAGAAATTTTTGTTCAAATCCGGTATGGGCTATGTATAATATATATGCACAGCAGTGAATATCACTATATATTTCAGTTTAATATATTGTGAATCTGGTGGTGTTCGTGTTCCTGTAAGATCCTGTAGGAGTAGCTTCACTCCAGTAATGGGGAAGAAGATCTGCATACAACTTTCGTCGTGAAATGTGGATACTGGACAATTCCTGTTTTTAAATGGGAATTTGGGGGGGGTGTTTGTCTAATAAGCTTGCATGCCAATATTCCAATTTTTATATTTTTGGGTAAACAATCAATAGATGAACCACAGGTTTATTTCATGTGTCCTTTATACAAAATTTTGATGTTTGGATAAACAATCAATAAATGAACCAGCACTGCACAAAACCTAGAGTTCGATCTTCAGTACAAATCAGTGTCGGGAAAGGGCTTCAGTTCCAGTAGAATAATCTCCAAAAGACTATTTTTGAACAAAGAGGAAACCAAACAAGCCTTTTCTTCAGGGAAAAAAAATACATCCACTACAACAATGACACCAATATGGTTGAGTTAAATTTTTGAATCGAATCCCAAGCGCCCATCCAATCCGTGACATAAGGGTGAGTTGAACCACATATAAATTTTTCAAGACCTTGCTTATAACAATCCGCAAATCATAAAGGTAGTTCTGATAACTGAATTATTTTCTTTTTCCATGCTATTTAAATTAACTAAATAATATTTTTTCATCACTTAATTGAAAATTTTCATACGGACCAAATTAATGTTGAGAACTTAATTATTATTATTTTTTCATTTTACTTTCTTTCATTTTTATTTTTTATTATTCATTTCGGTCTAATTAAACAGACCCTAAGATAATATTAAAAAAAAATTGTTCATTTGCACTTATTGAATAATATGTATTATGGGATAAGTGCAAAAAACACCTCTATATTTTAAAAAATGTGCAAATAACACCCCTGTTGTTCAAAATTGACCCCTCTAGTTTCAAAAAGTTGCAAATAAGGACTTCTGACCAACATTTTTGACATGTGCCGTGCATGTGAGCAAATGTTGGCCTGTAATACCAAAAATACCCTTTGCACTACCCAAAATGTCCAAAGGGAGATATTTGCACACTTTTGAAAGTAGGGGGTTTTTTTTTTTATAAATAATTAAATAATTTTGAAATTTTTGTTATTCTCTCCTCTCCAATGGCTCTCTCTCTAAATAATTAATTTAAAAATAATTAATTTTATTTTCTCACTCCTCTCTAACTTTTCTCTCTCTAAATAATTAATCTCCTATCAGCTCTTTTTATTTTCTAAATTTTATTTTGATTCTATCTCTTCTTATTGTGTCAAAGCACAAAGTTTGAAAAAGCTCCCTGCGATAGAGAGAAAAAAGGGGAGGCAGTGTGCGAAGTTGTACGCATGCAGATGCTGTGATAGAACTCTAGGATCAGAGATTTCACATAGAGATGTTGGTGTAGAAATTGGTTCATTCAATATTGGGGCGTGAAAGAATCAGAAGTTCTAGAGAGAGAAACACAAGTCTCTCTCTAAAATAATAATAATCAAACTTCATAAAATAGCATTACTTAACTATTTTTATAAATAAATTATAATTATTATGTACGTTTAATAAATTAAATAAAAACAACCTTGTCAGTTTTCACCACCCATGGGCTGTTCCTTTGACATTACTCTCTTTCAGTTAGACCACAAACCAAAGCAACAAAAAAGGCAAAACACAATACCAAAACAACACAGAACCATCACCTCCACCTTATGATTAGAATCAGATACCAAAATCATCCCCAACTCAAGATCAAACACTCAAAAATGCAACAAAATCCAAGAACCTGCAAACAAGGAACTTCCCACTTCTTGATCAACATCTAAACAATTATATACGTGCAATCCTCTTCCATTCACAGAACAATAACCAATTTCAATGCCCAAAAACACAATACCAGAGCAACCCAATCCACGACCTCTAACTCACAATACACGAAGACAGCGATCCTGAGTACACTTCAATTGACCCGCAATCCCTAATCTGTTCCTTGATTGTAACCCTAATACTCCAAGAATGCGAAAATTGAGGCCTCCCCAGTAATCGATCAGACGAAAACCCTACACTCCAAAAGAAACATGCTAAGCACATCTCTCAGTTCCAAAAAAACAAAAAACAAAACCGTAATTCAATCCTTAAAAATCGAAAACAAAAAAGTTTCATCAAAGTTCAAAAATGGAGTGTTGATCATTACTATTCAACAATGGAGTTTTCTATCTTTGGCTGCCGAGCTCGAGAAGCAGAGGCACGAGATCGACTGGATTCTTCGTCTACAGGTCAGATTCGAACGAAATCCCAAATGGGTTTTCATAATATAGATTCATATTTCCACACACATGCTTGATTTTGGATTTATATAATGATTTCATTTCAGGGTTTTTCTTGATTTGTGATGAACACGGTGAAACAGAGTGAGAGACTGAGGACTGCTCTTCTGGAAGAAACAAGGCAACAAATTGGGTTTTACTGAAGCGATACAAAGCGAAAACGATGGGTTTGATGTGGGAGAAAGAGAAAGACTTGGTGACTGCGAAGAAGAGGACAATGGAGCTCGAGTGCTTGAGAAGGCAGGAGCTGGAGATGGAAGCGTGGCAGAGAATCGCGAAAGAGAACGAAGCGACGGTCACGAATCTCAATACAGCTCTCCAACAAACTAGAGAGAGAGTCCCCAGATGCAGAGTCGTTCTGTGATTCATCTAATTACGGAGTAGTAAACAATTAGGCAGAACAGAGCAAAACAATGGCGTGTAGGCTCTGCAATGCTCGATGCTCGTGCGTTGTGTTTCATCACTCAAAAAGAGGTAGTTTAGGTTAATGTCTATTCGGTAATTTCAACTTCTTTAATTTTTTTTTTTATTATTGTTGAATAAAGAATATTGGAAGGTATTTTTATATTTTTACCTATTTATTCGACAAAAAAATCTTTATTTACAACTTTTTAAAATTAGATGGGTAATTTTTAAGTAATAGGTGTTCTTTACACATTTTTAAAAGTACATGATGTATTTTGCCCTTAAGTATATTATATACAAAATTCACCCCAACATTCTAACGACAAAGAACATGTTTACATAAATGAGTGTGCGTAGCACTTCTCTTCAAAGGATGCATACTCTCTCCTCTTTTTCACCAGTTATGTGCCATTCTTTGCTAAAGCAACAATATAACAAACCATCACATATACAAGGAACAGATATATTTACATAAAAAAAAAATATAGCACTCATACAATATATTACACCGAATTAAATTAATAATTCTATAAATTTACATAATTGTATTTTCAATTTAAACTTATTATACTTGTAATTTAAAATTATTAATATTTATAATTTAAAATTATTGCGTGATATAAATTTGTCAGATTGTTAATTTGAAGGAAAAATAATTCCTCTCCTGACACAATAGGGTACATTTTGGATGAGCAACCTAGTTTATAAAGAATAAAAAAGTGCGTAACAATTATTCCTCAATAAATATTTTTCAAAAAAATGAAGTATAAATACTATTTGATTCGGATGATAACATTCTGAAAGTTCTTCATTATATTAACTTAATATGACCACTTTATGCTTTGAGCTTAGTGGTATCTCTCGTCAGGTGGACTGTGAGGATTCCTTAAGAGCATATTGGGTGTAGTTGGATTTTAAAAAAAAAACTTTTAAAACTATTGCTTCAATTTTTTTGTTTGTAAATAACATATCTGAATTAAAAATTACCATCTGAACTATTAATTTATTATAATTAAAAACGAACCCATCGACTATTTTACTCTTTCTTATTAAATTTGTCATCAAAAAATGCATATTTGTCATCAAAGAATGCAAAAAGCAGAAGTTACCCTGAGACTAGCATATATCATATAAGGAATGGCGGAAAGTCTAATGGTTGACATGATGATTGGAAATGCTATTAAGGTGCTCATTTAGTATCAATTTATCATTAAAAAATAAAAATTGTAATCACGATTTTTTAAAATAATTAACTTATTATTAAAATTTTATTATTTATAATAAAACTTATTATTCCCGGTTTAATTTATTTATTTTTATTTTTTATTTTTTTTTTACCGTAGAAAAATACCTTATTTTTCATACAATTTATTGATGAAAAATTAATAAATTACTTAAATAAAAAATACTTTCTTTTTCATCTAATAAAATTAAGAAATTAATTAAATTGCTTAATATTTGTATTTAAGCAATTAATTAAAAAAAATTAAAGGTAAATTTATACAAATTTAGTAGAATATGTAATCAAATTAGTATGAATTTTTTTTTTTTATAATTTATTTTAATAAAAAAAATTAATTAAGTGTAATTTAATATATAATAAAGGGCATTATGACCATTTAATGAAATATAGTTTAGAAATTGAGATATTTTGTAGTAAAATGTAATATAGTTCATGTACTATTTATGCAAAATATAGTTTTGAGGTTATTTGTAAATTCAAAAGTAGAGGTTATTTGTAAATTCAAAGGGCTTTTTTTTTTTTTTTTTTTTTTTTTTCACTTTACCCATTCAACAAATAGCAGTTGGACTTGGCCGCCATGAATAACATGCATTTCTACCCGTAGTAGTGCAACCATGTTCACAGCGTTTATGAACCCTTTCAATTATCAAACGACCATTTTTGTCTAGCTCCTTTTTCTCTGCTCTTTCTTCGATCATTATTTGTTCCTTTTTTTCTGACTCTGTAAGCAAACTTTGGTAAGTGTGTGAGAGAGATGAAGCTAAGTGATGGTCTGAATCACAGTGATGATCATAACAACAATGTGGTCAAGAAGGAAATTGTGGAGGAGGACGAGCAAGTTTATGCTTGGGAATGGCCAATATCAGCGGAGACTCTCAAATCTGTGGAAGACGATTTGAATCTGACCCAGTTGTCTAACAACCCACCAACCTGTCTCCCTCGATCCCTCCCCTTCTTCCATGGTTTCTCTTCCTAAAAACTCTATTTCTCTCTCCTCTCTCTAAATTTTCATAATTAAAGTTGGGTTTAGTTTACTTTTTTCAGGGTAAACAAAAGAAGCCCAATGAAATCAAAGACAAGATGTCTCCAGTGAAGACGAAGAAACGTTTGGGTTCAATATCAAAGCATGTAAGAGCTCATTTCTTCAAACCCATTCTTCATTTTTCTGCAACAGTACCCTATATATCTGTTTCTCTCTGATGTTATATATATATATATATAGATAGACACCCACACACTTTTGATATTGGTGGAAAACATCAAATTGAGCTAACTTTCTGCATGCTGTTAATGTGCTTGAATGTTTGTCCAATTTATGCAAGATCAACTTCGACTTGGTGAAGCATATGCCCTGATTCTTTTGGTTAGGGCAAATGATTCTGGTCACAAGCATTTGCCCTAACCGTAGTTCCTCACTACATCAACCAAAGTCCATTTGGTCTTAAGGGTCCTGAATCCATGTTGCTCTTTCTCTTGATTCCTAGTTTATTGAAAGTTGTCAACCCGTCTTAATTGTTCCTTCAATTTCTCACAAGTAAATACAAGCAACAACATTGGTAAATATTAGTAATTTTATCCTATAACATAGTAGGTTTTTGTTAAGTGGAGTGCACTATCAATGGATGATTTTGACTATTTCTTGAACAGGCAGTACCCGATCATGCAATAAAGTTGTCAGTATGTAATCTCCTGATTGCTTCGATCTTTTTATAATTTGTTGTGTTTATGTAATGACAATAGTAACTTGTTGATTGTACTTGAAGCTGTAAGCGAAAAAAGGCTGCAAGTAATGTGTTAAATAGTCCCGGTGAAGTTAAGTCATCCATTATGATTGGAGCGGAGGAGGTTCAATTGAGTCTAGGTACTGAATTTCCTAACTTTGGAAAATGAAAGTGGGGAACAATATGAGTTGAAATTCATTGCAGATGTGCAAGGGCTTAGTGCAGGGTGGAGTAAGTTTGCTACTCTAAACAAATTGCTTGAGGGGGATGTTTTGGTCTTCCAAATAAATAGAGGCTAACAAATTTAAGGTGCCATTCTGAATTATGTTCTGTTTATTCAGTACATTTTTGTTGATTTTTATTCAACATTTATGTTTAATATTTTCAGACAGAAAGTAAGTGAATGATTATGTGTGTAACGATGCAACGCTACCTTTACAGCTCATAAACTCGAGTAGAATGACTATTTACAAAAATGTACATTCCAAAACATGTCACGGAATTATGGAATTGACATTATATCACCATTGTATTGAATATTTACTTCCAAGTTCCATATGTGTAAATAATTAAGATTTCTAAATTATTTTATATCAAATGACAACTTTTAAGTGAGATTTGAGAGTTTAGTAAAGTAAATTGGCGCTAGTATAGACGATCATGCTTCTACGTAGATGTAAAACTCTGACATGCATAAAGGAGCTTCTTATAGGTTGAAGGTATAAGAATGAGGACCTGGACAAAATGTGAATTTGATGGGAAAGGACTGGATATCTGGAATAATTTCCTAAATTAATAGCCAACTTTGGTCTATAGTGTGTCTTGGAGATAAAAGAACATGTGTGGAATTGAGAGGAAAGAAGACACAAAAAAAGTTTTGCCAGGCTTTCTTCATCATGTACATGTTCCACAGAAGGATATCTCACTGTGAGACTAATTGTTTCCTTGAGGTTTGAATGTATCTTATTCATTATATTTTTCCACTGGGTTTGAATTTATCTTATTAGTTATAATGTTTTAAATGTATCTTATTTATTATATGTCTCCATCAGGTTTGACTATATCTTGTTAATTTAGTCTAATTCATCAATCCTATAGCACACTGGATCTATCTGCACCGACCAGCCCTCAAAATGAGAGAGAATTTTCATCCACTAATTTTATGCGAATTTAGAAGCCTTAGTGTTAGATGAGGATTCCAGAGTAATTGGCGAGAATGCAGCCAAACAAAAGGGAACCAAAGGCAGGTTTATGTTTTACTACTATCACTGGAATTTCTGACAATTGCTTGAAAGGAAAAGCATTCTTTGAGGGAAATGGAGCTTCATTATTGGTGGCTATATTATGTAATTAGGTAGGAGCTAAACCGTGGTTAAAGTTTGTTCCTAGATTGACAATAGGCTGGGAGCATTTAGGGGAGTAGGTGGGCACTAACATCCGAGATGGAGCTGAGAGTCCTTAGAGGGGATAAGAGTGATGGTCGGTTGCAACAAATTACCTAGCTAACATTGCAGAGGATGTGGAACCTGCTGCAAGTGATAGATAGGACATTAGGAGGTTGGCTACGTCTTATGCAAGTCATATTCATAGTGAAGCAAATTAGATAGCTGATGCCTCATGTAATGTGGGTCTCCAGTTGGATCAGAACTTTGTTATGATTACTCTTACATGTTCGTTAATTTCTATTGGAAAATAGGATGAAAGCAGTTTTCCTTGTTGATTTATTTAATCTATTAATCATCTTTTTTCTTGCTATGTTTTACTTAATTATTATAATTACAATGGGCATACAAGAGAGAAGACAATTTTTTGTAGTAGCATATAAATACCTTACTTCTTTTGACTGCATGTTCCATTTATATATATATATATATATATATATATATATATATATATATCTACACTTCTGCAGGCGTACATAATAAGGGCAAATGATTTTACGGAGGTATTGGATGCTCATACAAAACAAAATGATGCAGGTTAGTTGACTGATATATCTCTTTGGTAATTCCATTATTAATTAGCATAGCTAAGACAGTTGTTATTTGTTATTTAATTTTTTCAATATACGTCTAAGACGACGAGGGTACAATAGCTTTCAAGAACAAGAAGAGGAAGGGTTTGAAGTCTCTCCCACTAGCTATGGTCCAAAAGAAGAATTAAAAGACAGGCTTGTTAAAATCAGTATCTAGACTTGT